TAACCCACCTGGCAGGTTAAGCCATGGAATCATTTTATGAAAAACACTTTGTTGTTTGTGCAGTATCATGTTCAGTCGATTAAATGTTCAATTAAAAAACAAGTTACAATGTTTTGGAAAAATAATCTTATCAAGCTCTCCACCGTTAAAGTAGGACATACAAACAGTTGTGAAAGCAACATGTGACCACAGTAGATAATTATTAAGAACTGTTGAGCAAGCAAAAGTATTTTGCTGACATAGATAAATTCCAAACAGACAACTTTCAGTACCTTTCACATGTCTTATTGTGGTCTCTGAGCTGGGACAATGGAAATTCCTCTCGACAAAATAGACATGGAGTTAAGGGTCCCAGGTCAGATGGTCTGCTAATCGTTTCCTGTAAATAAAAAAGGAATTACAATTTGCTGTACTTTTCTCTAAATCCTTCTATAATTTTCAGAAGAATTGAAAAACAAATATGCAAAGCATACGCAACAGCACCCACAACTGAAACAGCAACAGGACAGGTACTCTTCGTACAAAATCAGAACAAAGTGGATAACTCTTACAATACCTTATGAATGCTGAGGTTACACTGAACAGGGCGGATGTATAATGTGGCATAGTTAATAAGCGAAGCAGAATCTTTCAGATATTGGGCTGTGTAGCCCTCATTTGGGCATGGCAGAACTGACAACTGTCGAGTCCTGGTGCTGCCACAAGTCCTCATCAATTCAAAACCGCCTGCTTGTGTGAACTTTGGATAATTGGAATATATATAAATTCAGTAAAGTTTTGGGGGCTATGTCCATTTCCTGAAAAACAAAAAAGCAAGAAAATACAGTCTTAGAAGCAAACATTTACAAACAATGTAACATATAAAACCGGAGCAGTGGCTAAAACAGATCCCAGGAACAACATCAGACATCTCAGTCCAGAAATGTGCAGTTCTAGGCACAGCCAAGATACTGCGCAGAACCCTCAAGCTCCCAGGCCTCTGGTAGAGGACCCGAGCTCAGAGGATGAAAGAGACCACCCGCGGAGGGTGAGAAGGGAATTTACATACATATATGTGTGTGTGCTTTACCTGCATACACACGTAAACACACATATCTATCTAATGACATACCTCGAAAGCACAAACGTCTCTCCCCCAGCCCTGCCCTTTGAAGGCGTGCCTTCTCAGTCCTTGTGGGAGTCATTGAACTGTTTTTGTGGGCAAGGGCAAAAAATGTGTGTCTGTATGTAGCTGTGTGAGTCTGTGGACCAGCAGAACTGGTGGTTGGCTGGTTTCTGGCACGCCTTGGTTGCCTTGACCAGCCCATAGCACCACCTGACTGCCTAGTGTAAGGCGCAAAGAGCCTTGAAACTTCAGCTGTTAAAAAGGAAAAACACAGTAACTAAATGCCAGCAACACAACACCTTATGTTGTATTTTAATCCATTAATCCATCTTTTACCCTAGGAATATCAAGTAATATATATCATATCATATCTTGTCAGCAAAATGAACTTACCATCAACTGGATGTCGGCCCAAAGAAGTGCGACTGGCTGTTCCTGGCCTTGGTTCCTGTTGTGCTGTTAATTTTTACAAAACTGGATTAGGATATAAAGCTTTGGAAATAGATTAACCATAGTATATCAGCTGTGCAGTGCAGCACTCTTTTGCTTTGTGTGACTCTCTGTACATTAACTTGCAAACCCAAACTTTAATCAAGAATCAATTGAAGGTCCGTGTACCTTCAGGCAGTTCGTTTTTTTTCCTAAAAACCAAAAACGGAAGCTACTTTCGTTTTTCGTTTAGAAATCAAAAACCAAGCCGTTTTTCCTTTTCTGTCATCACAATTTAGAAAAGAAAAAACAAAAAAACGTAATGAAAAAAACGGGCCGTTTTTGGATTTCGTTAATTCCCTTTTCCATTTTTTTCTTTAGATTGAAAGATCAAAAAGGGATATATGAGAAATTGATTAATGAAACCGAGAAATAGGAAATCAGGTTAATGGAAAAAGGAAATTGAACAGTGGTTAAATTAAAAGATAGATTAATGAAAAATGGGTAAATAGATAAATAGATTAATGAAAATTGGGTAAATGAAAAATAGATAAAAGAAAATGGGTAAGTAAAAAAAAGGGATATATGGGAAATTGATTAATGAAACTGGGAAATAGAAAATCGGGTTAATGGAAAAAGGAAATTGAAAAATGGTTAAATAAAAAAATAGATTAATGAAAAATGGGTAAATACATAAAGGGATAAATGAAAAATGGACAAATGAAAAATAGATAAAACAGAAATTGAGAAATAGATAATCTGAAAAATAAATAAATAAAAAAATTGGCTTAATGAAAAAGGAAAATTGAAAAGTGGTTAAATGAAAATTAGATTAATGAAAAATGGGTAAATGGATAAAGGGATAAATGACAAATAGATAAATGAAAAAGAGAAATTGGGAAATTAATAATATGAAAAATGAATAAATTAAAAATTGGTTTAATGAAAAAGCTAAATTATTTATTCAACAAATTTTTTATTTATTTCACTCATTTTCTTCATTTTTTCGATTTATTTTACTCATTTTTTATTTCTTTCACCCATTTATTTATTTGTTTAATTTTGGCTGAAATGGCTCTCCATAGTAAACTGCAAATAAAAATACAGCAATTAATTATTGACATAAATACAGGAGAAAATGAGAAGGGAAAATGATGTCTCTGCAAGTCATCTAGGAATCTTCTATGTCATTACAGTTAATGATAATAATAATGATAATAATAATAATAAAAATAACAAAAATAGTATAACAATACGCCTGTTATTATCAGAGTAAGATATTGAGGCAGCCCAGGACAGAAGTGGCCTTCCTTACCAGCTTATTCAGTCTCTTTCTGTCCCACTCTGAGCTGCCAGGGGCCCAGCAGACAACAGCGTAGAGGAGGGCTGAGGCCACCACAGAGTCATAAAAGATTTTAAGGAGGGGCCTGCTGACTCCAAAGGCCCTCGGCCTCCTCAGGAGGTGGAGGCGGCTCTGGCCCTTTTTATACAGAGCGTCAGTGTTATGAGTCCAGTCCAGTTTATTATTGACGTGAACACCCAGGTATTTGAAACTCTCCACAGTTTACATTACAGTGAACCCTCGCTATAACGCGGTTCACTTTTCACGGTCTCGCTGCTTCACGGATTTGCATCATGCATTGTTAAACTGTATTGTCAAACATAATCAATGGTGGCATGTCGGTTTATAAGGATCTTTTGGCCCACAAGAAAAAAGAGCGACAACAACTACCGATAACTATGTTCTTCTCTCAAAAACATACATGCACCGCAGGCTTTAGAAGAAAAAAACGCCACAGAGCAATCAGGATGCAGCGGCTCCGTCAGAAGTCACTATTTGTCCCACTGTACTTTGTATTTTTTTTTATAATCATTTTTCATTTTCTCCCCTTCCAATCCGTCACGGCGGTGCTGATCCCCGCAATATTAACTCTTCATTTCGTATTGATGATTCAAATTATTACTTATTTATTTATAACTATATTATTTTACAGTACAGTACAGTAGTTAACAATGTTTATACCGTACTTTTATTTGTTAAACAAATGCTTGGGCCTGTAAAAACTTTTTGTTCGTTGATTTCAATGTTGTATGGAGTATTTCATTGTATGATAACTCTAAAAAAAAAAAAAGGTTTCTACTTCACGGATTTCACCTATGGCGGGTTCTTTTTGGAACGTATCCTCCGCGATAAACGAGGGTTCACTGTATTTAAAATGGGAATACTCCGGATTAGCTCACTGACTTTTGGGTCGATCACAGCCATCCCTGACAACAGTTTAGAAACGCCGCTATTCATCGCGGCAGCAAGCAGCATTCTTGCATAATGCGCCCAAAAAGCCTGGGGGTTGGGCCTTTCATGCTTGTTGTATCAGGCATCATAGCGTCCTTTTCCAGATCAAACTGAAAATTTTACCAGCTCGATAATAATAATAATAATGATGATAATAATAAAAATAACAAAAATAGTATAACAATACGCCTATTATTATCAGAGTAAGATATTGAGGCTGTACAATGATAATCCCTATGGTCTAATGTAATTCCTTGGAAAGGTGGAGCGCACATCAGCTGATCTAAATAAAAGAAGGACGCCATAAAGTCAAACAGCAGTGGAAGTGTTCTCATGCATCCTCTCCCCCATCGCCTCTCTCCTTCAGATTCATTGCGATCACGGCCAACCAGGCCTTCAGCAAACAACCGCGCCTTCTCTGCGTCTGTAAATGTAGTCTCCCTGCCGTTGTGTGTAACTCTCAGCCTGGCTGGGTATAGAAGGCCGAATCTCACTCCGGGTTTGTAACCGAGTAGGTTTCAGGCTGCAGCGCAGCGGCTTTGAATTCGCTCGCCTTGATAAAGGAGGTATCGTGACTGCATTACTTTCTTCAGAATTTCCTTGAAGGCATGACAGTAGTGCACCCTGACGATCGAGTGCCGCAATGGTTCACCATCACCCGGGCGCTCTCGCAGTGCCCTATGAGCTTGGTCAATCAGTGGTCTTTCATCCAACTGTAAGACATCTGTCAGCAGCTTTGCTACAAAGTCTCTAGATTTTTTTGCCTGTTTTCCAGCCCTTTCTTGACTCCTGCAATTCTCAAGTTCTGCCGTTTTGACCCCCCCTCAAGGTCCAGGCACTTTTCTGCCTCTGAAAACTTTTCTAACAGATTTGGGGAAATGAAGGTTTATGCAACACCTAAGCCTGGTGTTGCAGCAAATAAGACCTGAAACAACTTTATTTTTTTGTGTAACTTTCGTTGAAAAAAAAAAAGCAGCTAAATCCTATCACCCAAAACCAATCATATTTCCTGATAAGTTTACTTTGTACCTTTCCTCATGATCTTAGAAAAAGTTTAATAAATGTGTGATGAAATTTCAAGGAACTAAGGTCGCCTGTGATAAACAACAAAGCAGTGAAGAAAATTAGTTTATGCAAAAGACTTCACACTTTATTGGGTTATGATGAAGAGAAACCCCCTGCAGCTTGTGAAGCACTCCTGCATGACTCCCTCAGCATTTATTTTCCTGCTGAAAAATAAACGCCAGCGGTTATATTAAGAACTACACCTCCTTAGAACCTAATGGAGAACAAGGCTGGGGGAAGATGATGCATCGTTACCTGTGAGTGCACCGCCGACTCTCTCTCAGAAAGCTGCTGCTCCCTCAACTCCCACTCCTTCTCCCTCTTCCGCCTCTCCTCGGTGAGAGCAGCCACTTGCCTTTGCAGGGAGGCCAACTCCTGCCTCTGCTTCTCCAGGCTGCGCTGCTTCTCTTGCTCAATCAGGGAGCTGGGATGGGAGGACTGCCGCTGGTCTTCGATGTAGCTGTCCTGCTGGACCACCACCGCCTGAGACCCACAAGGCATCACGATCACAATAGACACTTAACTCATGAAATTCTAAGATGATTCTATACTGTTATCAAAATATTTATGATCGGATCTTTTTGCACAAAGAGAAACTTCTTAAAATGTACATTAACTTAAAACTTCACAATCATGTTTTTATTTCTGACATAAATCCTGCAGATGCAGACTTCAGGAGGAGGCGTACCTGCAGAGTGCTGAGCAGGAGATGCAGGTTGGAGACGCTGCGTAGGACCTGCTGTTAGAACAGGGGAACATAATGAGTGTCAAACAACCTGCTAACATCCTGCAGTTATCATGACTAAACTTTACAAATCTGCTGTTAGTGGAAAACCTGCGAAAGGAAAGCTATTGGAAGTCCTGTTTGCAGTTTACCATTAGTCAGCAAAAATATGGAAGCAGGAGATCAGGTCAGAAGGAAAGCCAAAGTAAGCTTTTTCTGTACAAGATGGTATGTCTAAAAGGAAATTAGCATTGACCGTCCCTCTTTAAAGTCGCAGGGAAGCGGCTGTTCCAACCTTGCATTTCCGAATCCTCCCGACTTTACACGAGTGAATAAAATGAATGTGATTGGTCGTTCATCAAGGGGGCGGGGTTGTTGTAGCAGAAAGCCCGCAGACAAGTTTGGTTGTAGCCGCTTTGTTGGAAGCATCTTCTAACCAGTTAGCTACTTAGAGCTAGTAGGTTCCCAATGGGAAATTCCAATGGGACCAAGTAGCACTAAATTGGTGACTTAAAAAACACTGTCAAGGAACGCTATGGACAGCGGAAACATGCGAGAGGAGGAGAGTTTTGTGTCGGAGGTCGTGGATGAGTCTCCTCCATCATACATTTTTTATTTAGAGGAGGAAAGCGGGGACAAAGATGTTGTGGAAGAGGACGCCAGGGCGGCAGAAGCTTGGTTTGGTGTAGAAGGCTTCCAGCCGTACATCTTCGAGCCCTTGCTTCGCAACGCTGCCAGTTCTGTTAGCTCTACGCCTGCTGAAGACACAGACGTCCATCCCCGTGAACACTGGGACGGAACTCAATGGGAAAGGAAATGATTCTGATTTTAACCGTTGCGTATATTAGCTGTGACATATGAATGAAGATGCTATGACCGTTGATATTTAACTAACTGGTCTGCATAAGATAACGAACCCCCTCTTATTATTTGAAACCAAAATTTGCATATCACTGGTTATTTAGTTAAATTTTACATAATTTTGTAAAACATCAAATCATTTGTTAGGTTCATGGGTAGCAAGTTATTCAGCACATGCGTAACCTAGAGTCTAGAAAGCTGTACTAAAACAAATTTCTTTTTGTAAACATTTGTGTTTACAAATGACAAAATAAAATCTGTCACAGTTTAAACAAACAAGCAAAAACAAAAACATTAACGTAGGGCCAGAACTACAATGAAAGACTTTAGATCGATGCTACTGATGTTCCTACTAGAATGTTACTAACTAGAATGGCTGGGAAAAAGTTTAGATCTTGATTTAAATGCAAGATTTGAAAACTGCCGGCGGACGGATGTATTTCATCATATCCAATCTAGCTGATTTTCAGCTGAGAACAAACATACACACATGAATATACGCTTAAATAATAAATATTTGTCCTTTCCATTTTTGTCATCTATCTAAAATCCCATTAAAATACCTTTAGGTTTGTTTTTGTAACCTGACAAAATGTGAGACAGCTCTAGCGCTGTGAATGGTTGAACAGGGCACCGTCCTGCAGCGTTTATAGAAGCTGCAGTGCATTCTGGACGTGACATTTTCTTCTTTTTAAACACTAAATAGAACCAGGCCACTGACCTTTACTTTGCTGAGTGTTTACCAGCCTACAAATATGATCCATATGATGTTACTAGGTGCTTTGAAAGCGAACTCATAAAGCTTTTAAAGCTGTGGCAGTAAAATCTGCAGCAGAGCATCATCACAGATCTGTAGTTCAGGCATTAGCTGTACACAACCTGCTCTG